GGATGCCACCTACATGTTGCTGCAAGGCAGAGTGTGCTTCGAAGACCTCCAAAACTTCGAGTAGTTACAGATGTTTATGTAGATTCATGACATAATCTTCGAATTAACTGATAGGTAAAGTTAGGACAACTTGTACTTATGTTAAATTTCGAATAGTGATCCGTATTGTACTTACCCAACGAATATACACCGGGAGATGCAGGAACAGGCCGTAAATTTGACATTGCGATCCACTCACGTTCACATGTAAACGGACATTGCCGTGATGATCACATAATTGCTGACTCCTTTCGTCCCTTTCCCAAATCGCTCGTTTGACAAACCTATTATACTTGCAGGGTTAAACCGGGTATTCGACTCACCACATGTCGGATAGGATGTGAAATTTAATTCCTGAGTCTTATATTTACCTTTATATTTATAGAATTTTACTATCCGCTCGCTACCCGTTCTATATCAGAAAGAAAACGTTTCATCCCCGCATTTGCACATGTGCGAGCAAAATTCGACACTCGACACATGCGCGCATGAGCAAAATGCGGAACTTTGGTGGGTGAATACATAGGCTAGGAATAACGACGAGGGATGGGACGCATACCAACTTGTAGACTATTACACGGCATATGTGCACATCACAACCTGCACCGTGGCAGCTAACTATAGATAGCGGCATGTCAAGCGCATGTGCGCGAAAAACTACAAATTCGTCCTCTACCATCGTCGTTTTCGTCCACTGTACTCCACGTAGGTAAGAATGATTGTATGCACTACCTTCCTACACATGTGGAGTACATGATCTCACCTTTTCAGCTCACCTCCATGCGTCATTCCCGAGAATTTGACCACGTGCGCTTGGACTTTCCGCACATGCGCACATGTGCGAGCGCAGCATGTATACAAGTCAATTTTAAAATGATCATGCATTTTGCACATGTAACGTTCAAAACCATATAAAAGAATTCAATACAAATTCTATATAAAACGTTGATATAATACAACATACATTGAGTTTCAAGTAGAATACCGTTCCAAAACAACTTGTGAGAGATCCGACAAACTGGTATACATCACCGCTGTACTTGCATCCCAATATCCTCGTGTTCTCACGTATGAAGTTAACTTTTTGAAGTAACGTTATCATGTTGCATGAAGGAATAACCTACTCTAAGTAATGAATACGTTACTTGAGGAAAGGTTTGAAAGCCTGCACTGTGAACAATGTAACGTAATCATTCCGCCTATTTAATAGTGGCACTTACCCATTTAACAGTGATATAAATCCTTAACGTGTTTCAGCTAATTTGCATGGTATTCAGGTTTCCTTAACGATTTTCCTGTCTTGCCGACTAAGTAAGTAAGTCTGTTGAAGACACGGCATCCTTTCGCAAGTATTATTTTTTTAAGGTTATTCGAAGTCATAACACTTTGTCGCATGCATTACATTAAGAAGGTTATCCGAATGTAGGCATTACATAGATTCGCCAGGTTGTGTTGTAGTGGTAACTTGATATTACAGCGGCTTAAGCAGAGGCGACGTTTGGCGATGACTGTGTGCAGTGATCGCGCTATTTGCGCAGCAAATATGTAGATGGAGATTGACGCATTTCGGATAACACATGCGTCGAACTCTGTCGACATTTGTTCGCCGCGCGCGGTCCTAGCCACCAGTCATCTCCAAATGTCGCGCTGCAAGTGTTGCTTGGCGCCGGAGCTAACGCTTAGGACCATTGCATCAGGTTGTATGCAGCACTGCGAGGGCCGACCTCGGTCACAAGGGTGAAGACTAGTACACATTGGGCAAATAACGTTGATGATTAACTCATTAGACTTGATATTGCTGTACTCAAATGTTCGTTGGTTCGCTCTTTAGCTTCGTGTGCTCCAATGAAGTATGTATGCCTTGACCATGGCTGGCTTGGTCCGCGGCATGAAACATCGGGAACTGACTTCTATATTATCGAATCTATTAACGAATTGTTTTCAAATAGCTCTTTAATTGAACATTAGCTCAGTGGTAGCGCGTCAGGATCTTAACCCAAAGATCCCTTCCACCACAAGGATGGAGACAAGTACGCGTTGGTCAATAGCGTTGACGATGAACTAATTCGGCTTGATATTGCTCCACTTAAGTGTTTGTAGGTTCGCTCTTTAGCTTAGTGTGTGCCCCAATGAAGCACGTGACAATCATAACTTCAGAGCTTGCTCCGCGCCATGAAATTTCGTGTATGGATTACAATTGACCCATGACAGGTCATATATGGCTCGACCTGCATCGACAATGATCGTTGCATGTTCAATCCTTGCTGCACAACGATACTCGGAGCCGACGCCCCCGCAGTATTGAACTGGTAGGATTATCTCCCCACATGAACATTCATTGTACTGCATTCTGTCCCCAAAGTAAGGCCCTCCAAATCACCGACGTACCATCGTTTTGGTGACGACTGTGTGCATGTAACGAGCATGTACAGTACCTGAACGATCACGGTCGACGGAAGTTGAGCCATGGCATAGATCGCATGACTCGACCTCCATCGACAGCGATCGTTGCACGTTTGATCCTTGGCGCCAGTAGTCGCAATAGCCATGATGAATCATTCAAAGTTCAACCGCTATCGTCATTGACCTCTACATACGCGATCACTGTCACGAGTAGGTACTACATAACCTCGGAATCCTCCCTTGTCCATCTGACTCCCTGCAGTAGAATCAATGTCCGTTGAGGTCTATGAATGTTCCATTATGGGTCGACCTCCATAAACCTTTTTCACACCAGTACGATCCTTCCACCGTTTCGTAATCGCTACGATATCGCACGTCAACTGCAGATCGGTACTGAAAGCCTATCGATGATAGTCAGGATGCAAGGCTTGTACACCCTTGTCATAGTATCAATTTAGCTATAGCAACAAGATGACCAACGCCAAACAGCATGATATGACTCCTTAAAGCTGCTAGTACCACAAATACAGTTAAAAATGAGTAAGCAGACCAATTCATACTCAAAGGAACTCATGGGTATTGGAGGATCAATAGAATAACGTTACTACAGCTATGTTTCAACCCAAACCATTATAAAGTGACTTTACAAGTTCACAAATGAATATCCCCTGGAGCACCACCAGCGCAGACCAATCACACATCCTAGAAGCGTATATAGCGCAAGTAGACCCTCGTAGTGGTGGTTCTGGTAGATATATTGGATCTCCAGAACCACTACTACACTGATGGAAAACAGCATCAGTCATCCCTCCGTGCCTACCCTACCTTGGTTGACCGATACATATATCCTTTCTTTGTGCCAAACGATCACACGGAAAGCGAATATCGATAAATAAATGATATTGCAGCCTTCTGTCATGCTCGCTTTTAAGAAATCAGAGCAAAAGGACGTGTGTCGAACAGCATGATATGGTCATTTGAAACAGGCACCGGTATATCCTACCCTATGTAGTTGAACAATTAGACCAAATCCAAGTGTCAAAGGAACTAGGGATTGGAGGTACTACCTCGAACACAGGGATACATGCACATCTAAGGACCAATTGCATTGACGATTAACGCATACTGCGTCCATGGTTGGTCTATTCCAACCACTTCTATCGGCTTCAAGTCACCCCCCTACTTCACTAGCGGCTCACGGCCTCACGAATATCATCAACGCAGACCCATCACACATCCTAACAAGGGGTGTCACGGTATTGGACCTGTGTAATAGTGGCTCTGGATGCATATTGGCTTCCAGAACAACTACTACATGGAGCCAATACCACCATCAGTTACTTCGTGCCCAACCTGCCTTGGTGGGTCGATAAATATAACCTTCGACAAGCGCCTCCCTCTCCCCACTGCTCCTGCGCCTATATACCCACATACTTCAAGGCGCGGCCCCTCCTGCCAGTTTCTGTGAGGCGGACGTGCACCCCCTCAAAAAAAAAGGGCAACAGCACCAACGCTCTGGACTATCGACCAATCGCGCTCCTCAACTCTACGTACAAAATATTTGCTCAGATTCTAGCCATCCGTCTACAACCCCTACTGGCGGTTGTCATCGGCCCCCAACAACAAGGTTTTGTTCAACGACGCACGTTGGATGATAGTATAGGCCTCTTTCAACGGGCTTTAACCTTCCAATCATCAGACCCCCTCACCACGCTCGAAGACTCGGCAGCCATCATCTACCTCGACATCAAGAAAGCTTACGATAGTATGGAGCGCGCCTACCTCTTCTGTACAATGGACGCGATGGGTTTCCCGCCCGCCTATGTCGGCCTCCTGGACCGCCTCCACGCCACCACGTCCATGCGCTTTGTCGTTAACGGCGCCCGCTCCCACACCGTCCCACAAACAGCAGGCATCCGCCAAGGCTGTCCTCTCGCACCTTTCCTCTTTATCATCGCTATGGAACCCCTACTCGCTGCCCTTCAGACACAAGCGCATGACCATGGCTTGCTCATCCCCCACGGCTCTGCCACTCTTCCACTGCTCTGCAACGCACATGTCGACGACACGGCCATCTTCTTGCGGCACCTACGTTCCCTCCCATGGGCCTTAGACCTCCTACGCTCCTTTGGCGCCTTGTCAGGCCTCCAAATCCAACTCCAAAAGTCCTTTGGGATCTGTCTCAACTCCGCCCACACACCGGACTCGGTCCACAGCATCCCTTTCATCACTGGCCCGATACGCCGTCGATACCTGGGCATCCAAGTCGGCTTGGGATCCCTCACAGACGCCAACTGGGACGCTTGCTACCGCTCCACGGTCACACGCCTCCAGACGGCTAGTAGTAAGACCCAACACCAGCCGGGCTGAGCCCACGTCCTCAAAGCCATCGTCCAGTCGAAATTCGCCTTTCTGGCATCACACATTCCCCCCTCCCCATCTTAAACCGCTCGTTTCGAACAGTTCTCCTATCGTTTCTGGTTGTGGGGGGATCCACCACACGCAATCCAGGCAGACTCCCGTAATACGTCCCCCGAGCACACCTTCTACGCGCACGCTCAAACGACGGCTGGGCACTCCCCGATTTTCCGCGGCTTGTCCAACAACAGACCATACGTCGAATAGTCCGCCTACTCAGCAGTCCAGACACATGGGCATACTCCATCGCTCTTAGCAGCCTCCGGCTCCCGCGTAACACTCCATATGTACTACACCCCACGGCTCGTCACATCCCGCCGACACGCGCCTCAGACTCCATCGGCCTGGGATATGCGCTGGCCAGCAAAGCCCTCGCACTGGCCCCGATCACCAACGGACAAGGCCGCGTCTCACTCCTTCTTACGCGTCGCACGCCATGCAGTGACCTTTACCTGGGACCGCTCCGGCCAATGCAACTGTCACGTCCCACCCCAGCTGCAACTCGAGTCCCAACGACTTCAGGCGGCCCTTACCACCTCCACGCCACCCACATGGCGACGCCATCTCTGGCACACATCCCTCTCCAATAACGCTTGGATTCTGGATCACCACGGCCGCTATCTCCGTTCATACCCGTACGATTCCTTCGCTGACGCCTTTCAGGACGCCCACCTTGGCCCCCGATGGGCCTTCAGGCCACGCAGGCTCCCCACCCCTCATAAAGAATCCCACCTCCAATCACTGTACCTCATCACCCTAAGCCTAAGACTCCCACATCAACAACCTCACGCTGGCCCAGCTTGCCGCATCTGGTTCCCCTCCCCCTAGCAAAGACATCCCTACACCGCGCTCCACCATTCGTCGCCCAGCTCAGCGCCGCTGTACTGGCCACCCTCCTGCCTCAAACACACATATCACACAAATTTGCCCTTCGACAGGACCGCCTGCGCACAGACCTCAACAATTCCACAAGCCCTACACAGTGGGACCGAGAGTGGAAATCGCCCACTCTACCGGGCAACCTCCAATCGTTTATGTACAGGTGGTTCCACCAAGCCTTCCTCTTCAGGACCACTGCCGCCCCACCTCAATGCCCATTCTGCGGCGCGACCGATAGTCCCGCACACACTTTCTGGCTCTGTGGTCGGGCACGCTACCTCTGGACCACCACCCTCCACATCTGGTTCGACCCCACACCCCTCCCAACACAGACGACCTACAGACCTCCCTCCTCCACGGGACTCAGCCCTCAGTTGCACCATAGCTACTCCATTCACCAAACTGGACGTCCCACTGCACCCAAGACAACCTGGCCCACCAAGCGTGGCAGCTCATTCGAGCCCTCACACTCCGTACCCTGTGGAACGACTGCTGCGCAGCGCTACACGACAACACCAGCCGTATCCCGCCGCCGGTTTCCTTCCCCTAC